GCCGAGGCTTTGGGTTCAACCACACCCACCATCGCCATTCCTGACCTCCTGTTACACCTCAGCTTAGCCATCTGAGGCCCTCCTTCTCTCTGCCTCTGGCTGTTTCTGGACCTTCCAGGCTGACGCATATGTCCCCTCCTCCACGAAGCCTTACCTGACCCCCATCTGCTCCTCCACCATGTCCAGAGCAGTGATGAGACAGGGCAAAGTGGAGAGAATCAGTTTGGGTCAGATGACCTGTCCTAAGTAGATAATTAAGATAATTAATTAAGTAGATTACGATTAAGTAGATTAAGATAATTAAGATAATTAATTAAGTAGATATGCCTAAGTAGATTAATTACCACGGAAGAAATCAGAAAGGGCTACCAAATAGTTATCAGCCGAAAAAGATTTGCCCCACATTGTTTTATTGGTGATTTTCCTTCCAAACTCTTAAGAGATGAATAATTCCTGTGCTATAAAAACTATTCTAGAAAATAGAACTTAAAAAGGAAAGTGAGTCAATTCATTATGAAGTTGGCATAGCTGTGATACTAAAACCTCATAAAAATTGTTCTGAAAAAGAAACTTGTAGACCTATTCTAAATAAAATACTAGCAGAATGTCAGCAGAATTTAAAAATATAAACACTGTGTGAGATATCTACTTGTCAACAAGTCAAATTTTAAAAACATTGGCTCATTATAGTTGCTTCCAAAAAGAAGCATTTGAAAACGTTAAACACAACGTCCCATTTTGTTCATTATCAAAAACTAGAAACAGAACAGTATCTTATTAACATAAAAAATAATATTTTTCTCAAAGGAACAAGCAACTTTGTACTTAACATTAGAAACAGGGGTTCTAATAAAATTGGGGAAAAATAAATATACCTTTTCTTATCGTTATTCTTTAATATTGTTCTGGAAGTTCTTTTTTATGAAATACAATATAAAACAGAAACAAAAATCTAGTTTAAAAAAAGATGAAAAAGGATAATTCTCCTTTGAATATTCAATAAAATCAACTGAAAATAGTTTTCAGTTAATAAGGGAATTTTTAAAAGTACAATATGTAATATATATATAATATAGAAGATAAATGTACAAATGTACAAAATCAAGAAATTTCTATATAAAATTATTGCCAATTCAAAAAAATGATAGAAAATATTGTATTCTCAATGGTAGCAAATAGCAAAACGCTTACAATACACTTAAGAGCAATGAGGGGGACCTATTCATTATTCAAAAAATACTGAGTATCTTTTATGTGTCAAATTCTATATTCAGTGTGTGGAACATAACTGTGAGTGAAGTAGATAGAGTGCCCGCTGCCGTGGACCTGCACAAATAAAACTAAGAAACTGTTGAGAGATGTAAATCAAGACTTTTTCAGAATGCTGTACTTTGATAGTAGATGGAAAGACTGAATGTTATCAATGTCATCCACAGATTAATTTATAGGATTAATGAAATCCCAATTTTTAAAAATCACAATGGGATTGTTTCTGAAAATTGGCTAAATGTTTCTAAAGTTTGGAAGAATAAAACTTGAGAATAACACAAATTAATTTTAATCAAAGTACTTATAAAGGTAAGTTTCATTAAAAAGAAAAATAAGTGATGAAACTATAGTGGCTAAAATAGTAGAGTACTCTCTTACAAGTCAATAGCATAAGACAATTCAATTAAAAATAGGCAGAGGAGGGGCACCTGGGTGGCTCAGTCAGTTGAACGTCCGACTTTGGCTGAGGTCATGATCTCGCAGTCTGTGAGTTTGAGCCCCAAGTCGGGCTCTGTGCTGACAGCTCAGAGTCTGGAGCCTGCTTCAGATTCTATGTCTCACTCTTTGAACATCCCCCACTTGTGCTCTGTCTCCCTCTCTCTCTCTCAAAAATAAATAAATGTTCAAAAAAAATTTTTTGAAAAACACAGGGAGAGGATTTGAATAGAGATTTCTCCAAATAAAAGCACATGAAAACATGTTCAACATCATTAGCCCTCAGAGAAACACAGATCAGAACACCTTGGATGGATAGAATTTTTAAAAAGATCATAATAACTGTTGACAATGACATGAAGAAATTATAACCCTCATACATTGCTGGTGGGAAAGTAAAATGGTGCAGCTGCTTTGGAAAACAATATGGTACTTCCTCAAAAGATTAAACAGAGAGTATATAGATACCCAGTAATTCTACTCCTAGAAATGAAAACATGTGTACATAAAAACTTGTACATTAGTGTTCACAGCAACATTGTTGAAAAGAGCCAAAAAGTGGAAACAGCCCACATATCTATCAACTGATGAGTGGATCAATACAATGAGGTTTACCCACATGATGGAGTACTATTCAGCCACTAAAAGGAAATGGCATACTCATGGCTACAGCATATTGAAACTCGAAAACAGTATGCTAAGTGAAAGAAGCCAGCCATGAAAGACCACATGCTGTATGATTCCATTTATATGAAACATTCAGAATAGTCCAGTCCAATGACACAGAAAGTGGTTGCCTCGGGCTGAGGGGATTGGGAGAAGTGGGGAGTGACTATCAGTTGGTAAAGGGTGTCTATTTGATGTGATGAAAATGTTGATTGTGGTGATAGTTGTGCAGCTCTGTGAATTTACTAAAAAAAACCATTGAATTGTACATTTAAATGGGTAAACTGTATGGTCTGCAAATTATACCTCAATAAAGCTTATTTTTTAAAAAAAATGTATGGTATTGGCACAAGAACAATCAGAGCATCACTACCTGTAAAACAACCCCATGACATACAAGAACTTAATCTAGGATAAAGATAGTAACACAAAGCAATGGAGAAGCTGAAACAAGAACAATGTATTTAGTTACCTGGGGAGGAATATACCAACTTAGATTGTCACTTTGTGACAAAAACAAATTTCTTGTGGATCAAAATTTAATATGAAAAAATCATGCCATATTTTAAAGGGGAACAAAATCTTTGAATGAGAAAAGACTTGCCAAGCTTAAAACCAACTCATAAGGAGAAATGCTCATAGATTTCATTTTATAAATTTAAAGCTTTTAGTCTTAATATCAGAAACAAAATAAAAATACGAGATTTGAAAATTTTGTTTCAGTGGATGAAAGAGGAATAATTAATTTTAATAATTAAATTGCTAAGGGAAATACTTAACACCTTATACACATGGGCAAAGTATAATGAACAGATATTTCACAAACAAGAACCTGCAAATTACAATGAGATAGTATTTTTCAATCATCAAATTACTAAAATAAAAATTATTAAATCATATTAATTTAATACTAGCACCAGTGACTCAGACATGAGACTGATACAGCTTTCTCAGAAATCCACTTGGCATGCTCAAAAATGTTCAGATTGTTTGACCCAATAATCCTACATCCGAAATCTACCCTGAGAAATATATTTGAAATGCAAAAACTTATTGAAAGATTCATATGTCATTAAATTATGACCCTTAGCTTCTCATTTTTTTCTCCGGGAATATTGACTCATGAAGACCAAAGCCTGGTGAAGGTGGGGCAGGCCCTAGTAGGGGTCAAGGTACGGAAACCAGACCATCCTGCTCCCAGACCATTCTGCTTCCCAAGGAAGATGTTGGCATGGAGCAACAGCAGCTCCAACGGGTCCTACGCCAGCTTCCTCTGGGTGGGCTTCCCTGGGCTGCAGGAGCACTCGCGCCCTTCTGGTGCTGCCCTTCCTCAGCCTCTACCTGGTGATCATCTCTGCCAACGCCCTGGTCACCCACATGGTGGTGGCCCAGCAGAGCCTGCACCAGCCCATGTACCTGCTCATTTCCCTTCTCCTGGCTGTCAGCATCTGTGTTGCCACCACCGTGATGCCCACCATGCTGTTCAGCTTCTCTACCCACTTCAACCGCATCTCCCTGCCTTGCTGTCTACTCCAGATGTTCTGCATCTACTTCCTCATTGTCTTCGACTGCAACATCCTCCTGGTCATGGCCCTGGACTGCTACATTGCCATCTGCTACCCTCTGTGCTACCCTGAGATAGTGACGGGTCAGTTGCTGGCTGGCCTGGAGGGGGCGGCAGCTCCCAGGAGCACTTGCATTGTTGCCCCCCCCCTCGTGGGGCTTGCCTCCCAGGTTCACTTCTGCTGCTCAGACCTGATCCACCACTTTGCCTGTGAGCACATGGCCCTCATGAAGCTCTCCAGTGGGGACATCTCCCCGAACAAGACTGTGGGTCTCACTGTCCACATCTTCAACAGAGTCCTGGACATGCTGCTACCTGGAGCCTCCTACTCTCGCATTATCCATGCTGCCTTCTGGATTTCATCAGGCAGAGCACATTCCAAGGCCCTGAACACCTGTGGCTCCCACCTGCTGGTCATCTTCACCGTCTACTCTTCCACCATGTCCTCATCCATCATCTACCGTGTGGCTCCCACCGCCTCCCTGGCCATGCACAACTCGCTCAGTGCCCTCTACCTGCTGCTCCCATGTCTGGTTAACCCTGTCATCTACAGGGCCGGGACCAAGGAAATCAGGCAGCACCTGGCAACTCTGTTCCAACTCTGTTCCAAAAGGCAGAGCTACTAGCCCCCCCCCCCCCCCCCGAGAAGCTCCAGCCCCTGCCCTCACACAGGGAGCTTCCCACCTGACTCTTTGGGACTTGTAGGTCCTACAAGTACTCTCACTATCAAGTGGGTATATGTGCAAATGAGTCATCCCTGCTGTATTTTGGCTTTGACTATCTGCATTCATCTTTGAAAATCTTTTTTATCCATTTTCTGAAAATAGCTACTCATCCAGAATTATACAGTAACCAACTCTAAAGGAAGCTTGTGTCTCTAGCTTCTAAATTTTCTCCCCTTCTTTCTGCATGTGATATTCATTCATTCTCACATTCATTCATCAGACATCTATTTTACATACATCATGCTAACCCCATGATTGCAAAGAAAAAGAAACTGGTCTCTTCCCTGAAGGAGGGTCTAGTCTATAAAGCTTCAAAACTATAAAGACAGGTAATGTTCAATAATACCTTTATGTACAAAACTCTGTGGGAACATAGAGGAAGACAATTACTAAGAACACTTCACAGAGAAGGTCAATTTGAGTTATGTTTGAAAGACAAGATAGGGTGTTTACTGAAGAGGAAGGAGATAGAAGAAAAAGAATTCCAGGCCATAACAGCAGGGTAGGCAAAGGCACAGAGGCATGGGTACACGGCTGAGTGGGAAACTCCCAGCCAGGCCCAGTTTCCCTGGCACGGGGGCAGGTGGGGGCCTGGCAGGGAAGGAGGCTGAATGCATAAGCAGAGGCCAAGTGATAGAAGGCCTCATCTGTTGTGATAAGGAGTTTGAGTGCTTACTCCATGCAGTATTTAGCCATTTAAAGAGTCCAAAGCAGCAAAGTGGCAAGATCCTACCTGTGTTTTGGAACAATGGCTCTGCAGCCCTAGTAGAATGTGGATCAGAAGGACACAAGCCTGGAGGCTAGGATACTGGAGATGACGGTGGCCTGGACCTGACGGTGGCCTGGGCCTGACTGGTAACAGCAGAAATGAGGAGTGGAAGACAGACACAAGAGATTCCAGAAGACTGAGTTTGTGTATGAGGGTTAGAGAGGCAAGAGGAAACTAAAGGGAGAGTGGCCTCACCAAAGCCCAGAGAGGAGACTGTTCTAAGAAGGTTAATGGTCAGCAAATGGAAGTCCATCAGAGGACCTGTAGGTGGTTTAACCAACAATGAACTACTATCCAGAATATATAAAGAACAACTACAAATCAGTAAGAAAAAGACAATAGTAAAATAGGCAGAAGACTTGAACAGTCACTTCAGAAAATAAGCATAAGAAAAGGCATTTGACCTCCAGCCTCTCACATATAGATGTTCAGGTTGTGCACTGTACAACTTCACACATCTATTGTATAAACATACCATATTTGTATATGTATTTCAAAATTTCCCAGAAGATGACCACGAAAACTCTCAATGCACTACTAATGAGATTGTAGATTGCTGAACCACTTTGAGGACAATTTGCCATTATCTAGTGAAACTAAAGATATGCATACCTCTTAACCCCCAAAATATCCTCAGACACATGGGCATCAAAATACATGTACAAGAATATTCACAGTGGCATTGTTCCTAATTGTGAAAAACTAGAAATAATATAATGTCCTTTGGCAATAAAATGTGTGAATACATTATGGTACATTCATACATTAGAACGCTATTGACAATAAAATACATTCACAAGTACAACACCCATTCGTGATAAAAACCCTGTGCAAAGTAGGTCTAGAGGGAACATTCCTCAACATAATAAAAGCCATATATGAAAAACCCACAGCTAACATCATACTCAATGGTAAAAAAAAACTGAGACATTTTCCCCTAAAATCAGGAACAAGACAAGGATGTCCACTCACCACTTTGATTCAACATAGTACTAGAAGCAATGAGACAACATAAAGAAATAAAAGGGTGCCTGGGGGGCTTAACTTGTCAGTTAAGTGTCCGACTTTCAGCTCAGATTATGATCTCACAGTTCTCTAGTTCAAGCCCCACATTGGGTTCTGTGCTAACAGCTTGGAGCCTGGAGCCTGCTTCAGATTCTGGGTCTCCCACTCTTTTAGCTCTTCCCTTGCTTGCACACAAGCACTCGATGTCTCTCTCTCTCTCGATCTCTCTCAGTCTCTGTCTCTCTCTCCCCAAAGTAAAGAAAACTTAAAAAAAAAAAGTTAAAGACATCCAAATTGGGAAGGAAGACATAAAACACTCACATTTTGTAGATGACATGATACTAAATACAGAAAACCCTAAAGAGTCCACGAAAAACTACTAGAACTGATAAATGGATTCAGTAAAGTTGTGGGATACAAAATCAATGTACAGAAATCTGTTGCATTCCTATACACTAATAATGAATCAGCAGAAACTGAATTTAAGGAAACAACCCCATTTCCAATTGCTCCAAAAACAATCAAATATCTAGGAATAAACTTAACTGAAGAGGTGAAAGACCTGTACCCTGAAAACTACAAAATAGGGATGAAAGAAATTCAAGACAACACAAAGAAATGGAAAGACATTCCATGCTCATGGGTTAGAAGAACAAATAGTGTTCAAATGTCTATACTGCCCAAAGCAATCTACACATTTAATGCAATTCCTCTCAAAATACCAACAGCATTTTTCACAGAGCTAAAACAAACAATCCTAAAATTGGTATCAAACCACAAAAGACCTTGAAAAGCCAAAGCAATCTTGAAAAAGAAAAAACCAGAAGTATCACAATTCCAGACTTCAAGCTCTATTACAAAGCAGTAATAATTGAAACAGTATAGGACTGGAGGGGAGGAGCCAAGATGGTGACACAGCAAGGAAGTCTTTTTTGTGTCTCTCGCGCATGAAATACAGCCAGATCAACACTAAACCATCCTGCACACCTAGAAAACTGATTTGAGAATTAACATAACAATCTGCACAACCTGAACCACAGAACTCAGCAGGTACGTGGTGCGGACAGGTGAACTGTGGGGGAGAGAGAAGCTGTGGAGGGCAGGGAGCTGATTTGCTTGTGGAGAGAGGACAGAGACTGGGGGGAGGGGAGGAGAGAGTATGGGAAAAGAACCCCCACCCCGAAAGCAGCTGGAGAGAAAGTGGAAAAGTGGAAACAGCCACAAGGACTTAACAAGAAAGGGAGAAAGGAGAAAAGAGAGGGTTTAAATTCCATTAAGACTCTACACACAGGGAAGGAGCCAAGATGGCAGAACAGCATGGAAGTTTTTTGTGTGTCTCTCGTCCATGAAATACATCCAGACCAACACTAAACCATCCTGCACACCTAGAAAACTAATTAGAGGATTAACACAACAATCTGCACAAATGGAACCACAGAATTCAGCAGGTACGTGGCACAGAGAGGTGAACTTGGGGAGCGAGGGGCCACAGTGGGCAGGGAGCCGCTTTTGCAGGTGGAGAGAGGACAGAGATTGGTGGGGGGGGGAGGCCGGGTGGAGAGAATATGGGAAAAGCACTCCTCTCCAAAAGTAGCTGGAGAGAAAGTGGAAAATTGGAAACAGCCGCAGGGACTAAACTAAAAAGGGAGAAAGGAGAAAGGAGAGGGTTTAAATTCCATTAAGACTGTAAACAAGGGGAGCACAAAGGCTGCAACTCAGCAGCTCCATACCTGGCGGTGCTCTGGTGGGAAAGATGAATCCCCAGGAACAGAGTGGGATCCAGGAGGTTCTTGGACCACACAGGGAAAAGCGGTTCCGCTGCTAGAAGGACATTTGGTAGAGACTGTTGAAGCCACCTGGTCCCAGCAGACCCCGGAAGGCAGCTGCATTCGCTGGTGCTGGGGCAAGGTTGTTGAGGGTGAAGCCTGGTGCCAGATGTGTGTTGTGATTTTCCATAATCCCTGAGACGCTGCTGCTACACTATCTCATGAACTTTTTCTGGGGCAGGCTGGCACCCAGCCGCAGTCTCGGGGCACAGGCAGCAGCAGGGTCCAGCAAGCGTTCCTGGGTGCAGCAGACATTCAGCCATTGCTCAGTGAGACCCGCCCACAGAGGGGCAGAACGGGTCAAAGCTGCAGTCCTTCAGAAGTAAGGGGCCAGGGAAAACAGCCACACCTGAGACAAAAGTACTGCCTGGGGCTTGGTCACAGACGGTGAAAAAGAGGGGAGTGGACAAAAGCTGAAGACAGAGGATGGGTGAGCAATTGCTAACCGGGGAGAACAGAGTCTCAATACTAGAGACTGTGTGGCTGGGTGACGCCATTTTCACCGCTCCCACGCATGCGCATATGCACCTAGGAGGAGCACTAAAACTCAACCCCCATAGGCTAGCAGCGCCATCTAGTGGAGGACGGAGCCACTACACTAAGCCCTGCCCAACTGGGCCAACCTCGCTCTTCAGAACACAAGTCTCACCGCCTGCTTAGTTTATGGACTATAAAGTGATTCATAGTCTGACTTCTAGGGGAAAACGAAGTAATTTCAGTCCTATTTCAATCTGCTAGCAGGTCCATCTATTCAATTTTCTTTCTTTTTTTTTTCCTCTTTTTCACTTCTTTTCTTTTTCTTGAATACAGAAAGAGAAAAAATTCATTTTTATTTTCAATTTTTATTCAAAATATTGTTCTTTAATTTTTTTACTATATTTTTTGCTTTTGTGTAAATTTTTTCAAATTCTATTTTACTTCCATCATTATTCACTTTTTCAAATTTTCAAACGATTTCCTTTTTTTCCCTCTTTTTTCTCTTTTTGGTTTATTTTATTTTTCTTGAATACAGAAAGAGAAAAACTTCATTTTTACTTTAAATTTCTATTAAAATGTTTTTCTTTTATTTTTTCTACTATAGTCTTTACTTTTGTGTAAATTTTTTCAAATTCTATTTTACTCCCATAGTTTAATTTTAGTCTATTCAGTGTATTCATTTTTTCAAATTCTCAAAAAATTACCTTTCTCCCCCCTTTTTACTCTAATCTATCAAACCACTTTGAACACAGAGACCAAAACACACCTAGGATTTTTCATCATTTATTAGATTTTGTGTGTGTGTTTTTAATTTTTAATTTTAATATTTTTTTAATTTTAATTTTTTTAATTTTAATTTTTCTACCTCATTAATTCCTTTTCTCCC